AGCTCCGTAGCAAAACAGAGTATGAATCACAGAAGCTACCATTACATGCCACATTAATTGGCAGTTTAGCAATCCAGTTGGTCCTTACCCAAACAAGTACAGTTGCATACTCTTTTAAACTTTAGTAGCAGGCCTCTTTGGGTAGAATATGGAAGGCAGCCTGAAGAATTTTCCATTACAGGGCATTATGCTATGTCTACTCAGAAAGTTCTTAGTCAAACTCTTAAAATCTGATATTTTTATTAACATAAAACTAGAAGTTACTCTCTCTACTACTGCCTTATACTGTAGAAACTGTAAATGCCTAAAAGCTGTCAATGGAAGATTTTTTCAGAGCAAGTCCCAAATCAGTACACAGTATGTGTTGGGATTGGGAAGACCTTCTGTGTAGATGGAGCATACATAGAGAAACTGTTGTAAATTTAATCTAATCTACCCCCAGGTCTGCTCAGGGATATCATGGAACCCTACAAATGACTTAAAAGGCCTTAAATATCGTCTTTCCCTTTAGACTGTGTGCTTCCTCCCTGCAACTGGATCTCTAAGACAAAAAGCATTCTTCCCTTGTAGGTGATCTTTACTTTTCCCTTCAATTAAAGAGCATGGAAAGAACAGCAAAAGAATTATTCTCACTGTAAAGATGCTGGATACGTGGAGTGTAGTTTGAGACTGAAATTTATTTCCTAGCCCCAGCAATGAGAGCAACAGAAGCTGCAAGAGTCAATAAAATCCAAGACCCAGCTCTAATTTCACTTGCTTCACTTTAACAAAGGTGTAACTCTGTCTCCCTTTCTCCCAATTTACTTCACTGTTGAAGTAAAAATATTGACTGCTCAAAAAAATTAGAGAGACTATAAACAAAACTAGCCATTGTAAGGAAAAAAAAATGGTTGAGAAATTATTTCTGATGTTAGTTTAAATGAGTGGGAAAGTCAGAGCTCTGCTGAAGCCAACTAGATAGTCAGATAATCTGTAGCACAATCTGTAGCACAGAAGACCCTAAGCACACAAGTTTGGCTAAGGATGGAGTTGTAAGTGTGATGCTTGTGACTAAACAAAATACAGATAACCTTTACTGCTCCTTTGAGCGGCAACAACTCCATTTCAAAAATTGCAAACAGCTTCGTACATTATTTCCCACTGATATACTTTCAAAAGACCTCATGGAATAACTCTGCTGCTGGCTCCACCACAAAAGGACAATGATAAACGGTACAAAAAAAATTCCCTAAAAAGTTATCCAGCAAAAATCTGGTTCACTTGGGAGGACTGGTTTAGGAGACAGGCATCTTTATTGATATGTGAAGTCTACTACACAGGCATCTTTATTGATATGTGAAGTCTACTTATTACGCTTATTATGCTTATTACCTGTTAGGTCTGTGGAGTGGAGGGAAATACGTTGGCTTTCAAAGTTTTTGTATTCCAAAGAAAAAACAACATAATTTCAGCTCAGGTAGAATGTCTGGTTTTAAAAGGCTTATTGCTTCACTGTTTCTGAGTCATGTTGTCATGAAATGTCTTGCCACATATAGAATTTTCAAAGCATTCATCAAATACACAATAACTGTCATATTTAGTATCCGAGTGAATTAGTTATTCATCAGTGGAGAAGGCTTTTCCAATCAAAACCTTTTGTCCATCTCTTTCTGTAATGAGCATAATGGGCTACTCTTCCTTCCAGCTCATCCCACTCCCACTTCCTCCTAACCCTTGGCAGAGCTGCCTGCAACGCTAGCATGGAGAGCTCTGAAGATGATGACATCTGGGAAAACCTGAAAAGCAGAGGGAGATGGAAATATTTAACAACAGCAGCTGCATCCCATTCAGCTGCCTTGTCAAAGTACATCCTGATTGGAATAAATTACATCTCAGCCTCTGAACACTGGATGGGAAACAAGGTGTTTACAACATAACACCTAGTTGGATCAATTCCAAACTGTGACATATGTCACACAAAGTTGTCTTGATGGAGCTAAGCACAGGTTTCTTTCCAAAGCTGAAATCAGCACATTAGCATTAAAATGTTGATCTTCATTTTGAATGACAGCATCATCACATTAGCACATAATCAACATAACCTTGTAGAGAAATACAAGATTGAGTTGATGCAAGATAGGGATACATCTGAGGAAATGTGTTAATACTTTAAAACTGAATAAAGCCTACAGAAAATTACCAAATTCCCAGCTAAGATACCAGTTACATTTTCCTCAGCTTTTGTAAAATGGTCACTCTTTAAGGGAATGGCTTTTGTAAAACAAACAAACAAAAAGTTAAAATACAGGTTCTTCCATTGGTAGAAAAAGCAGTTCAAAGCAAGACTCTAGATCCAAATACTTTCAGTGAAATCCAGCTGCAAGCTTTCAATGCAAGTTTCTCTTCCCCCTCCCCTGCAAAGTGAATGTCATGAATTGCCAAACCAAGACTGAGTAGACTGGAAGTTAAAGCCAGAGGCTGCCATGCTACACGAATTCACCACAATATAGCTCAAGGCAGACTTCTTGCATCTTTGTTAGCCATGTGTTGGGCCTCTGCTGATCAGAAAAAAGATAGACCCCTCCTGAATGTACAACTCACAGCTATGCCACATGAACGGAACAATGAGACAAACATCTCCAACTCTTGCTTTTAGGGTTATATCACAGTATTAATCAGAAGAAATCTAGCAATGATCAGGATAACCCCTGCACAAGTTGCCTCTGCTTTGCACACAGACCTCAATCATGATCATAAAATAAAATAAAATAAAATAGAAAAACCAACTCATGTTGCAGTATTACAAACATATCAGTTTTTTTTCTTTGGTGCAAATAAGGATTTAGACAGTACATACTCCAGGTATTTTACAGTCACACCAAATAGCTGCGTCTGCTCCAAGAGAAAAATACCATTTCCACTGACAGAGAATTTAAAAGTTGGAATGAAGAGAGAAGGATGTCATGGAGTCTTCATTTCAGTAGATTTATAGCACAACAGCGCTAAGATTATAACATTAACACAGATGATGTAACAAGACAGAGGATCAGGTTCTAACTCTAAGTTGCAGCATGCATTTAACAAACAACATGAGCCAACACTGAAAAATCATATTCCTTCTTCTCTATGACCTTATGAGATATTTATCTGGTAATTTTGGGTCCAAATGAAATTTGCTGAAGCATGTTACAAAGGTGACATTAAAAAATGACAATTAGTAGCACAAAAGAAAATAAAAAAGGAGGTTTTTTCCTTTATTTATCTACCTTAATAACTGCAGAATTATCTTTTTAACTGCAGAATTTTAATACTAATGATTATTTGTTCCAGGGTGACAGCCTGCATGCAGTCCAACTTTCTCACTTTTGAAGAGCAGTTCATGGCTGAGGCTGCCATCTTCTAGCAGTGCACAGCCTGGATGGCTGCTTTCACCAATATCCTTCCCAACAGGTACTTAAGATTATGCATAATGAATGGTTTTGTGCTTACTCAGTGTCCAGGAGGCAGCTTCTGCTAAGCAGGGACAGTTTTGTCACCAGTCCTTTCAATCCCTAGCTCAATTATTGTAGAAAGAAAAATTCCTCTCACTTTACCACATTAAATGGCAGGTTATAGCAATTACATTCCTGTGTCCCCCTCTCCCAGTATCGTTCAGACCAGCATAATAGTCAACCTCCCACCCTCTTTCTGGACCCCATGCATTATCAAAAGTACAATTAGACCCCCTGACCTAACCTTTTCGCTTCACCTCCATCATTGTTTGCTTGCTTCATTTACAGATAGGCAGCTGAATAAATGTATTGAGCTGTCTGCATTTAAGCAGAAAATGACACTGATTGTCACTAAATATAATGAGTGCCGTATGTATGTTTCATTGGAACCACAAGCTCAAATTAGCCTGTCAGAATTTGACTGTACCCTGATGCCAGCCTGTCAAGTGACACAATTAGCTCAAGAGAATAAAGAAAAGGCTTGTCAAAGCCATCAAGGCTTTCCACTTGCTCAAGTCCCATCCCTTTGCTCACTGCCTTTATTAAATCTAAATGCATTTTGTATTTGCAGATAGGTAGATGCAGTCTCTGCTCAACTCCCTCATCACCACCACTTTCTTACTAAAAACCCATCAAATCTGTGGAGAGGAAAAGGAAGTAATTTCTTTACAGGTCCCTAAAGTCTAGTTTTCTTACAGTGAAAGGAAATGTTTACCTGTAGATAAAACCTTATCAGCGGCTCAACTTTTCTTTTCTAAAAACTAAAAAACATTAGAATAATACTGGATTTAGAGATGAACTGAAAGAGCAGAGACTTCAAGTAGAAGAGCTGTCTTCCTTATAATTCTTTCCTTCCCCACCAGTGCATACAGAGGCACAGTATTTCCTGTCACAGATGTCTTGGAGATCAGAAAAAAAAAAAAAAAAAAAAAAAAACAAAAAATTGCTCTCTAAACCCTTTAGGATCCAAATCCAAGGATGAGCTTGTTTCAGTTTCTGACTGAAAAAAAAAAAAAAAAAAAAAAATCAAACTCAGAATTGCTCTCTGTTGTCTCAAGGGCACGGCCGCTCCTAACGCAAACTGCAAACTCACTAATCCCAAGCATGTCCAAAACTGACTCAGAGGCTGGCAACTCGGAGCTGCAGTTGAATCTACAAAAGCAGACAGCCTGTTCAGACCGCTCCTTAGCAACAACACTTGTGTCTTTTCCCAAGGACCCCCTCTCAGCTCCTTCCCAGCTCTTAGACCCTTTTAGCCCTAACTCCACACCACCTCTTGGTAATGCCAAAGATTCTGTAACCATACCAGCTTGTTAAAAAAAAAAAACAACAAAAAAAACCACACAAAAAACCCCCACGATGGGATAATATATCCCCTTATTCAGTATTTTAGTGGGTTTCCTCCTCTGACTGTGAGAATATTTGAATACTTAATTGAAAAAAAGATAAAATTAAGTGATCCGTGATCTCTTCCTCAGACTAGACTCAGCCATGCTGCTCATGTACCACAAGATGAGGAATCACACTCACTGCTGATTGTGGAGCCAAGGGAACCTTGTAAAGTGCTTTGGAAGATGCCCCAAGCTGCCTGGTGTCTCCAAGGGGGTAAGGAGTAGGTACCTGTGTCCTGCTCTTTCTGTGCCAGTGGGACCACAATCCAGCAATGCTAGTTCCTGTACTGGTCTTGTGCCTTGGCAGAAGATGCTTTCCAGCGAACAAATGAATTGGTGAGGCATCTAAGACTCTTCCCATGCTTCCAAGGTGTCTGCAGGGGAGGAAAAGATCAACAGTAAAGAAACAAAGAAGGGCAGTGAAGAGAAAGGTCGTGCAATAATTTCAGAAAGGAATAAAATAGGAGTTTCCAGTACCTTAACAATGCTTTGGGATACTTAGGGTCCTTGATGGTATCACCACTTGATATCAGTGTCTATCAATGAAAGAATGCCCCTGAGAGAGGAGGAGGGCAAATTAACTGATGAAGCAGCAGCCATCCCCTGGAAGGATTTGTGTTCTATTCAGATGTCGTTGTTTTGCACTTGAAATATCTTTTCACCCCAAAATACAATATCGGATCTTATTTTGGTAAGGACAAGACTATGAGAACATGTCATCTAGCTCAATCTATAATTTGTCTATTCATTACCTTGCTTAGAATCAATATTACTGCACTTGAACAGGTAACAATCGCTCAGCTTAAGGGCTTCCCCTTTGGCTTTATTCTTAAATAGCTTAATATGCTGTCAAGCACAGCATCTCTTTCAGGAACTAAAATTCAAGAGCACATTAGAAAACTTGCTTCAGTGCAGGCCTTTTAATGCTGGTCAAGTCAAAACAATCTTCACTACTTCTCTAATTAAACATGAAAATGCAGGTCTGAGGGATGCAACCTTCTTTAACTCACATAATACCTCCCAAACCCTTTTCTGTATATTTTTTTTGGTCGTACACAATAGGTCATGTTCATCTGTAACAGAAAACACTTCTCATAACCGTTCCTCATGAACCTTACTTCTGAGGTATCTCAGGATCCTCAAGTCTACACCAATCACCCTGTTTACTCCGTTGAAGCTTCAACCAAGGCCTGCTAAACAAAAAACTTCAGTTGTACAGAGTAAGAAACAAAAGAGCGTAACTAGTGCACTAACACTTAAATATTAATTAGACAGGACTGGAACATGGAAACATTTAAAATAAATGTTCTTGGTGGTATTATTAAATGTTAAATTTTATGCATACTAAATCACTTTGTAGCCTGATAAAATAGCTTCTTTCTGTGGCCTAGGAGATGCATAATTAATATATTTTTTCTAGCCATCAGTGTTTAATAATTAAAGAGCTTGACTAACATTTAGATGGCAAAGTCCTTTGAAAAAGCCTAACATTTTTGTGAAGAACATGACTGAGATAAGCCCTTTTCATTAGAGACTTTTTTTTTTAAAAAAAAAATGATACATACGAGTCTCTTTAGGCCCTTCTGAAATCTGGGGTAAGGAGGGGGCTTTTTTTTTTCCCCAACTGTAGTTCTTGAATATATAACTCAAGTATTTTCTTTTTGCATTGACAAACTAGTACAAGGAAGAGCAAAATTAATATGGGAAATTAACTTACAAAATAACTGGAATTATTACGTCTAGGTTGTCTTTGTACTTGATATCAGCCAAAATTGAGACTTTTAATAATAGTTAACACTACAGATTTCAGTTTATAGATCTGTATTCTGTATATTTTATAAATACATCCCATCTAAAAGAAATCAAGCATAAGTTTGTTAAGAGAATGGCAAAGACCACATGAACTTGCAAGGCCAGGAAGGGAACCCAGAGCCTGCACTGTCTGTTTCAACAGGGCTCAAGGGAGGATTCTGGACACTCAGCACACAAGGGCAGCGTGAATCTCCTCTCTCAGGCAAGTACCAAACACACTGCTGAGTGACACTACTGCTTGCATCACACAGCAAAAAAAAGCCTTCCATCACTATAGCATCTTGATACGTCTATTTTAAACCCCTGTGTACTCATATAATGAATTTGTAATATCACTGGCGTATCACTGCTTTTCCTGGTTCTTAATATATACTGAAAATATTGAGCAAAATTAAATTGCAAGAAACATAAGTCAGCAGATAGATGCTCCCCAATAGCTGTGGTACAAATTTCTTATCTTGTCTTCAAGTAGCAGCCTGTTGGTTGCACAGAACATCCCATAGTGCCGGCAGCTGAGGAAACAGTGTCAGCCTCCGAGCCTTAGGGTCTGAATGCAAAGGGGGACACAGACACAGGTCTGAAAGCCAGAAGAAACCAGTGCTTAGCATCACAGCTAATGCCAGCCCAGTGGTGGCTCAACCCATGGCAGCCTAGCTCTCCTCAAGTTTCTGGTAGGTATTAGGGAAGTTTTAAGGAGAATTGCAAGCAGGCATTTGAAAGAGAGCAATGAGGTCACTTCGGTGTTGGAGGAGAGACCTGGAATTGCTCACAAGCACCTGCACTGGCGGGAGACAGCACAAAAATACTTGCTCAAGAACATAAAAAAATTAGGGCAAAAGCATCTGGCACTTCTGGTTCCAGACGGTTACCGGAGGTGGGAGTCAGCTCACGGTGCTGGGAGGAAGGATGGCTAGCCTTCGGAGAAAAGCTATGGCTTATGTTTGACATGGCACAGAGAGAAGAGCAGAGTGATGAAAAATGATGTGCTGTACAAATGATGATTACAGCAGCAGTACATAGCTGTATCCTAAATGGAAGGGGAGAAAACTGGATTCTTGGAAATAGTTTGAAATAGAAAAGGGAGAGCAATTCAGGGGGAAAAGAGTAGCAGTTTTTTTCTGGGGAAGGAAGGCTGAGGCTAAATGACTCTATACCCAAGAGTGCAGATTTCAGCACAAAAAGAGACAGAGATACAAAATGCAACTCTGCAGTAACTTTCTTATCCCAGGCTTAAAGCTGATTCCTCTTTTTCCTTGCTCTTCAAAGTATCACAGCACCACCATTTTACTGGAGTTCAGTAAGAACCAGACCGAATAAATGCAGCAGGAGCACTGCTGCTTTATAATGGGCTTTTCTGGAGCTTTCCCCAACACCCCCTGAAGGAATAAAACAAGCTGATAGCTGAATAATGTAATCAACAGCAATTCATTGCCTTGAAGTTTGGTAAATAAGCAGAAAATATGGACTATGGGGTAATGTACTTTAGAAAAAATGATTGTAATGAAAGCAGACTGGAATTTCCTGTGTTAATGAAAATTTTACATACATTGTACTTTATGGACACACAGTCCAAATGCTATACTTCAGGGAATATATCATAGTAGGTAAGGAGTTCAAAAACATTAATGAGGATTCGGGTCAAATCATATGGATTTTGTTAAACAATTTTTTGAATAAATGTGAAATTGTTAACCAGGAAAGTTTAACTCCTAACCAGAAATCATTTAGGCACCACATTAACTAAGTGCTTGAAACTTGTTCCACTAAAAGCAGCTTATGTTCTTCATGAGTAAAAGATTCCACTGCATTTGCTCTCCTGAAAAACACTGGTGATGACTACTCATAAGAGGAATAATTTCTTTTCTTTTCTTTTTTTCTCCAGTGCCACAGCTGTTTCCTTACTGCCTTGCCATACCCTTCCTGTTTGGTCAGGGTGGCTTTGATGTTCTCCTGCTCAGGTTTCCCACTGGCAGAATCTGAGTCTGCCGTGTCCTGCAGCTCCCTGTGCCACCGCCCCCACATAAGGGTAGTTCTGGGCAGGAAAAAGTAAAATTTTCCCAAAAGGGTGGTGAGGAGAAAAAGCCCCAAAACTTGTAAGCAAAATGAAACTTATCAGATATGAACTATCATACAGGCTGCCCCACCGTCTGGCTGATGCCAGAATTACTTCTGCCTAATAACTATTAGTGGACTGATGAACCCATCTGATTTCGAAAAAAAACCTAGGATGGGAGGCTCATGGTGGGGCGGGGGGCGGCGGGGAAGTCTATACTACATGCTTTTAGGATAAATAGCAAAACAATTTTAATGCCTTACAGAACTGTAAGGCATTAGTTACCAAATACAAGCAAACAGACATACAGGAAGTTTCATCTGAAATATAATTTATAAATACCATTTTACTATCAATAACGTGTCTCACACTTCCATAATCACAACCCACATGAATCTCTGATAACAGACATTTGCAAATCAACTCCCTCAATTTCTCAACTGAAAAGTGTAACATAGCAAAAAGATCTCTTAAATGAAGCTGAAAGCATTCCTCGTCATAAGCAATAGTGAGAAGAAACAAAACAAACAAACAAACAACAAAAAAACCCCACAAAACAAAACAAAACAAACCCTCAAAGTTTCTACAGAACAGTCAGGAAGTCTTGGAGATTATTCCCTGGGTTGTGTGATTCCAGGACAAAATTCCCCTGCCATTACAGAGGGTTACACACACAGGAAGAGCATGGAAAATACAAAAATACTGTTTAATAATAAATAAAATATCTTTATATTAATTAATATATTAATTAAATAATATATAAAAATACATTTATTTTAAAGCAATATTTTAAATAATAAAACATTAATAATATTAGTATAATAATAATAAAAAATAAATTTCTCCCCAATCCCCATATTCTTCAGATGTAGAATCAAGTAGTCAGAAAGTAAAATCTGAAAGCAGAGGGGTACATTGCTACATCGGAGAAGAAGAAAAAATGAGAGAAATACTCAACCTGGGGAAAAAAAAATTTAAAAATACTGATACAGAAGGATTTACAGTGGAATTTACCACAGTAAAACCAGAATCTGATATGATTATTTATTAGAGATCTTTTAAAATTCTTTAGTTAAGCCCATAGAGTAAGAAAACAGAAGAAACCTGAAGTAAAACTGCCGGGTTTTGGTTAGGGTTTTTTGCACTTACATTTCATGAGCAGCCAAAAGTGAATAAAACTCAGACTCCCCTTATAAAAGAAAAACCACAGCATTTAAAAATTTCAATATTACATATTGAAATATAGAGTTCAGGTCTGATGAACTGAGGTACTCCTTTCTTTCAGAAAGGTGTTTTGTATCACCTCTGGACATCACAAGCTAGCTGCTGTCAAGTCCAAAGTATAAAAGAGATGACAAAGGAAAGCACAGAAGTGAGTTTTCAAGTGCAAGAGGTAAAATTTCAAACTTGTTGAGTGTGAAATAGACATTTCATACCTCAGATCAATAGCAGTCTGCTCAGAGCATTGATACAATTCATTACAAATGCTACTCCATAAAACAAGTCCCT